AGCTGGGACCACAGGCGCCCGCCACAACGCCTGGCTATTTTTTGGTTGTAGCCATCATTGTTGTTTGGCGGGTCCAGGCTGGATTCGAACCCGCCACCTTAGGTGTATGTGGCTGGCGCCTTAGCCACTTGAGCCACAGGCGCCAAGCTGACACCATGGCACTTTAACCTGGGTAACTGAGCGAGACACTGTCTTTAAAAAAAAAAAAAAGTATTGAGTGCAGTTAAATGGAATTAGGTGCATTAAAATCACGTATCCATTGCCACCTTCCATCCAGAATTTTTATGTGTTCTCAAACTGAAGTCCTGTAACCCTGAACACCCCACCTCTGGCAGCCCCCATTGGCTCTGTAGCTCCCAGTCTAAGCGGGAGGCCCGGAAGTGAGACAGGCCTGCCACCCGCGGGTTTGGAGGTGACACCCAGGTGTTTGCCTGCCTCTCCAGGTGGGATGTTGCGAAAGGGGAGGTGCTGGGAAGATCTGGTGGCATGGCCCGTCGCACTGGGTGACAATGGTGGCCAGAGACCCCGCGTGGGCGGCAGCACACTGGGCCCCGCAGGGAAGTAGCGCCTCAGCTGGTGGCGGCTACCTGGCAGCCGGACCTGATAGCACAGTGGCCTCTAGCTTGGAGTTCTTGTGCGCAGAGACCTGGCGATCTCATTTTGGGTTCAGGCTACTTAGCCTCCGAGCACACCCGAGACGGGGCCGTGCGTTTGGGGCCGGTCGGTGGTTTGTGAAGAGGTTCCGGGTCCTTTGAGCCTGAGAACCCAGCTGGAGAATATAGGAACAAGAAGCGTAAATCCGGGGTGACCGCGCGGGAATGGTGGTGGGTCCAGGCGGCAGAACACCCACAATGGAACCGGCTTGGCTCGCTCCACTGTGGTCCCAGTATCGGATCCGCCCGCTCCGAGAGTCTGGGAGGATGCGGCGTGTGGGGACACGCCTGCCGCAGGCAGAGCTTGGTGGGAAGAAGACCTCTGGGGTCAGTGAGAACTGTGGTGGGCGTGTGGGCCGGAGAGCAGAGCCGGAGGCCACTCGGAGGGGATACGCCGCCCACCGCATTCCGCCAGTTGGCCCCGGGTTCCCCTGCACCCTGCGTCAGCATGGGGCGGCGCCAGCCCCTCCCACCCGTCTCTCCGAGGCTTCCTAGCTCAGAGTTGGAGTCAGGTTCCGAACCCCGGTGGGTGCAGCGGGGCTGTCACCAGGAGGGTGGAGGAAGGGCGGCTGTGCTCCGACCTGGGGGTATCTCTCAGCCTCATTTCCTAGCTCCTACTCCTCGGACCCCTCGGCGGTGTCCGAGTCGGACCTTGACAGGTGTCCCGTTCCACCGTGATCCTGTGCCTTTTACTACGTTTACTTAACGTATGTTTTCCAAATGGGACTGTGCTTTTGCTATTGCTTTACTATTTTATGCTTTTAAGTTGAACACCACAAATGGAGAGCTTCCCAGGTGGGGATGTGTCAAACTAGTATAATAAGGTGCCCAGTGTTTTCTAAGGTGAGTGCTCCGCAACTTACTGGCCAGGGCCCATCCCCACCCCTACTCTACTTGAGGACACTTATGGAGATGGTCAGATCCTCAAGGGTGCATAGGAAGCAAAAAGATGCTGGCCACTCCTCTTGACCTTGTGGATTCTTTGTCCCTCCTGTCACCCAGGAGAGTCAGGCCTTCCAAATGAGTTTCCTGTAATTGCTGTAACAAATCACCGCTAACTTAGTGATTTCAAACAATGCAAATTTATTATTTAGCAGTTCTGCAACTCTAAGTCAGAAATCAGTCTCAGTGGGCTGAAATCTAGGTGATGGCAGCTTACTCTTGAGACACTCTAGGGGAGAACCAATTTTCTTACCTTTTTCTTTCATCTTCTAGGGCAGCTGATACCCTTGGATGGTGGCCCCTTCTCATTTACAAAGTCAGCAGTGGTCAATAACGCTTTCTCACTTCATATCACTCTGATCTGGTCCTCACTCTTCCTGTCTCTTGCTTTCATCTTTTGGGAACCACCTGGATAATCCTGGCTCACCTCCCAATTTTAAGGTCAGTTAATTAGCAATGTTAATTCATCTTTGTATATAATAACAACACACTGTGGGAGATTAGGGTGAGCACATCTATGGAGAAACTGTTCTTCTGTCTTCTAGAGAGAAGGGCATAGGGCAGGAGTTGCCACTGCTTAGATGGAAAGGATGCTATGTTCCGGTCATCAGTGTGTGAGGTTCCCCATTTCCTTACATTCTTACCAGCACTGACTAGTCTCAACCTTTGAGAATTTTACTGATTTTTGGAATGAGCCTATTTAACAACTGGGGCAATTTAGATTTAGAAACAGAAAATTACTTGCCTGAGAGATCTCATGTAAGTTTTTGTCTGTTGCCTGACCCTCAGTTTTTTTTCACTAGGAGGCTTGCAAACCACTGGATTTCTTTGTCACCTTTCATCCATTGAGTATCTGCAGCAGCAGCTCTTAACCTGTGGGTCACAACCCCATTGGGAGTCAAA